TTTGGAGATATCGTTCATCCTAAAAAATAACGTAACTAAGAAACATGATGAAGAAATCAAGACAAGAAGCATTTAACGTAGATGTCGCCCAATAAATTTAAGGACGAGAAGATATGATGAATTTCTTCAATTTGATCTTCAATTTCAAGAGCATGGACAACTTCATGTTTAAGTTTCCATTAATTTCTTCACTTCTCTCTGTGATTTCTCCTGAAAGATGAATCTTTTATGTGTTTTCTTCGATCTCTAAGGTGTATTTTTCCTTCCTCGCATCTTTCTTTAACCTGGATTCAGAGTATTTTCAAAAGATTCTCTGTACAAAATGCTCTCCTTTTTAGAAAGTCAATAATTAAAATTAGGCTTCAAGAGATTCTCTATTTTAACTTTTTTTTAAAAATAAAGAGTGCGTTTGAGTCTCCAAATTTCAATACTCTAAATTTAAACTATTTTTGAATAAAAAATTATGTTAAATAAGAGATGAGGAAAAATCAATATATGTTCTTTTGAAAAATAAATAAAAAGTTAAAATAGAGAGCATGGTTGGAGTATATAAAAATTTTGAATTGTGCTACTTGTACATAAAAATGTATATAATTAAACATAATATGATGTTGAGAGAAATATTAGATGAAAAGTTAATTGTGTTTTAAATTGACAAATAGTAGAATGCCGTAATATATTATGTAAATCTTATGTACATACAGCAATATCCGAATTTTTTTAAGTAAAAGACGTTCTCTACTATGCATAAGATGCTCTTAATATATAAAGAATCTCTTAGAGATATTCTAAGCCTACTTATATTCCTATATCCTCAATGTGCATTGTTGCGTTTTTTTCTATCGCAAGTGTACGATATCGTAACAAGTAGTAAAGTGGATCTTTGAGTCCGGATTATCGTTCCCACGAGGACTATACTTTAGTCTTAATCTACTTTTTCCAACTCTTATTTGATGAAAGTAAACAAACAAACAAAGGATTATAATAGTTGCGAATATTGATTTTCTAAAATGAACTAAATACCTAAAACA